TCAGTAGGGAATAGGTTCTCATTTTTCTTGTGGTGATGGGCCTACTCAGTCCTCTTCAAATCCTCTGAACAATCGCAGTTCAGAATGTCTGTGTCCCTAATTAAGGCCTCACATTCCAGTCTGTTTTATTTCCATCTCCTTCATACCCTTAAATCAAGCATTTCTGATACAGGAGCCAAAAAATCAAAGAAATGAGATTCAATGTTATAGTTTAGAGTTATACCCTAAAGGTATAGTTTACACACTAAAGAATTTTTATAAATTTTTGTGGAATGTGTTTTCGTTCCTATGATTGGTCTTGATTTCTGTGCTTGCTAAGCAGGAACTGCCCCTGCAGGAATCGTTAAGTAATTCAAAATTTCAGACATATAAAATGTTGATCTAAATAAACTACCATACCTCAGAACATACAGTTGAGATGACTTAAAGTATATTTGTCTTTCATTAGATAAACATCACTTTTTCAGTGATAAGTTCTATTATCAACTCATGTCTGTAACATCCTAGATTTATTTTTTTCTAAAATAATCATTTAAAATATATTACTAATAAATAATTCCATAAAATGAAACACAATTTTCAACCTCACTTTATCCTTTATAAGTTAGTAACCTTTTAAAATATATACTTATTTGGGGAATTTGCCACGACTTTTATATAAGAAAAAAAAGCAAATATAGAAGTTGAGAATAATAGATCAAAAGTAACAGATATGTAGTAAACATTTCCCCAACAGTCAAGCCCTTCTTGGAGTGATTAAAATAAGCGATTCCTGTGCAGCCCAATGTAAAATCTGTTGTTTAGGAACATAGCTACGAACTTAGCTGAAGTTAAGATCAGGCCAAAAGCTTGTCTTCTCTTTGAGACACTCTTTTTTCAGTGTGACAAAAAAGACACATTTACAGAGAACATGCTTGTGCTTAAAGACCTTTACAGGCAACCTATGAAGGAAAGAGCATTGTTAGTAAAAGAATTTTTTTAAAAGGCAGGAATAGTCATATGGCTGTTGACCTTAACCTCAAGAGCCACTAAACACCAAGTAAATCGCAGTGTAGTCTTAGTGATCTATCTTGCCCAGAGAAGTGGAAATGGGGTCTAAGACTTTCTCACTTTTTCAGTTAGGCTATAAACTAAGATACTTTTATTACTTTTGGTACAGTTTCTCTTTCCAAACACCATTTGTCAATCAAGTATGAAAATGCTTATGGGTCTGCTAAGGAGAAACTCTGTGTAGAGCTGAATAGCAGCCAATCCAAGATCCATTGCTTATTCTTTTAATGTTATCTGCTTGCTAAACATCGGGAGAACAAAATAGGCATGGTAATGAAAGTAGTATCGTGAGATGTGCGATCACTGAAACTGGGAACTGTGTCTTAATATGGTAACATCTACTCAATAAAACATCTTATAAATTGCAATTATATCAAGATTTTTACTTCTGAGTTATGCTAGATGTGAAGATTAAATTCCAAAAAAGTTAAAAGGAGTGGCAAATCTGTGATTATTTTATTTTAACATCTGAATTTCCATTTATTTAATTTTATCTCTTTGTTTTTTATGAGAGGGTCAGAATGCCTAGTTTCTAGAGAAGATGGCCACTAACATCGTATTTTTCAAATTGTGCATGGCTTCAGTACAGTCAGATGTATTGGAGTTATTTTATACCCCAGGGATAGGCACTTCACTATGTGTTTGTAAAGAATGTATTTGGGGTATGAGGCAAACTCCTTAAAAATATGACAGTCAATTTTAAGCAAATGGCTGTTTTCAAAGCTAAACAACTTTCTGTCTCCTGAAGCTAGGAGGATCAGATCCTTCATACCTTCATCATTTCAGATAATTTATGGTGTTTTTTTTTTCCTCATTGAGTTTATTGGTACAATTTAGGTATATAGTACAGTTACATTCATTATTGGGATCTTGTACCTTACATGACAGGTCTTGGTTTTTTCCCCTTGACCCTGCCCTCCCTTCACCCCTTCTTCTCCTCCCCCTTTACAAACACTTCATTTCTATTTCTTCATTTTCTCATATTTTTCTTTTCCCGTATTAGCTTTCCCTTACCCTTTCCACTTTTCCTGTACCTTTAGCCCCTTTCTTCCTATTTCACATTGTCCATTATATCATTAGGATCTTATGTACTATTATAGTTTATTCACACCAGAGAAACTGTTCGGTATTTACACATGTGTGAATTTATTTCACTTAGGAGTATATCCTCAATATGTATTCATTTTCCTATAATTTATGGTGTTTGGGGCAATATCTTCTTCATCGTCAAAGTGATCAACTCAAACTGTCTCAGTTTCAGATTAGCAGAAAAACAATTCACATTTCTTTTTTGAAAGGTATATTAATGAAGGGAAAACAGTAAATTTTTCATTCTTTTTCCCTCACTTTATTTGCTTATTTATTTATTTTTATTAGTTCATGTTTGCACTGTACAATGTTTACATTCCTTGAGGGGCATTGGTTCGTGTACAGAACACGTCTAAATTATTTTTTTTGTTCCTTTCCCTCTCTTCCCTTCTATCCATTTCTTGACCCCCATCTACTCAAGAAAGATCAGTCTCCTCACTGCCTATTATCTATCTTTTATTTTGCTCTTTTTTTATAATTTAGATTTTTTCGTATAAAAGAGAACCATGCCATATTTCACCTTGTGGGTCTGATTTATTTTACTTAACATCATGGTCTCAAAGTTCATCCATTTTCCTACAAATAACTCGAGTTTATCTTTATTTACAGCAAAGTAGTACTCTATTGTGTGTAAATACTGTATTTTCTTTATCCATTCATCTGTTGATGGACTTACATGCTGCTCCCAAGATTTAGCAATTATAAATTGTGCTGATTTAAAAATGAGTATCCACACATCACTCTAATATGAGGTCCTTAATTGTTTCAGGAAAAAAGAATAATAACTTGGCCAAATGGAATTTCTAGTTTTGTTTTGTTTTGCTTTGTTGTTTGTGTGTTTGCTTGGAGGACTCTCCATATTGAGTTCCATAGTGGTTCCACTAGTTCGCCTTCCCACCAACATAGTAGAAGCATTCATTTTTCCCCTCAGCTTTGCCAGCACTTGTGACTGATTTCTGATAATGGCCATGATTTTTTAGGTAAGATAGAACATAAGTATTGTTTTAATTTGCATTTTTCTAATGGCCAGAAACTTTGAACATTTTTTTTTTCATGTATTTATTGGCCATTTGTGCTTCTGTGAATTGTCTATTCATTTCACTTGCCTATATTTTGGATTGTTTTTTTTTTTTATTTTGTGGGTCTTAGTTTCTTGAGGTCTTTTATATTGTAAGGATTAGTCTTCTGTCTGAGGGATAACTGGCAAAAAAAATTTCCCATTCTGATGGGTTTTTTTGTTGTTTGTTTTGTTTTTGTACCGAGGATTGACCTGGTGCTTGCGAGGCAGGCGGATTGCTGTGAGTTTGAGACCAGCCTGGGCTACATAGTGAGTTCCAGAGCAGTCTGAACAACATAGTGAGACCCTGTCTCAAACAAACAAACAAACAAACAAACAAAATGAAGAATTAAATCTGAAGTCCCAAGGGAGCTGACCATATATAAGCAGGGAAAATAGGATTGGACTCCTTTGGGCAGTTTTAGTACTAAATGATCCTATTTATGTTTGATTAATTGCTATCCGTGGTGGTCCTAATTCTAGAAAATATAGACTTTAGAAACTCCATCCAGAAGGATGCAAAGTTACTTATTTCATGAGTCTACACAAAGATTCCTATTATTATATAAATGGGTGAAATTATAGTACTTCAGAAAGTGTGCTTTTCAAAGAAGGCAAGGCAAGTGGGCTTCTGAAAGTCTCTCTGATAGATAGCACAGTGGGAGGGAAACAGAATGCCCTTCTGTTTTCCATTAAAGTTCTGTTCTGCACCACATTTGATTGCTAAACATCTGGCAGTCTTTTTTCTGATAACATATTTCGGTAAGTGGACAGTGCTAAGCCTTTGAAGCTCGCCTTATAGCTCTTAAATGTGGTGAACAAGAGAAGATAAGAACTTTAGATTTTCCCTTCCTATCTAAAGTGGCAAAAGAGGCTTACCGTCTTCCCTTATTTTCTTTATTCTTTGCAGTTCTACTATTCCCTTTGCCTTGCATACAGAAGAAACTATGGGCTAGAATGCTTTGCCCACTTCCACGGGAGTGTGCAGAATCATTTGTAATCAGAGAAAAACCAGAGTTCCAATGTTAGAAGGCCTAAAAGATTTTCACAACCTCTGGCTCTGATAAAGACATTATGTATCATTCTAAGGAGCATTCCTTTCATTTAAACAGGCTGCCATTTCCAACACTACAACAGAAACTTCTTTCAATTAAGGATTAGAATTTTGAAGCTGGAAGGAAATGTGAAGTTCAGACCAAACTTTGTATTTGGGTAAAGATAAGAAACTGCATCCCAAAGAGGTAAAATTAATCCCTAAATGGCCCAAAGTTATACAAGAATGTTTGAAGGGGGTCACACGATGCCTACAGTAAAGTGTTTTTACAAATAAGGAAATGGATGTTTGTAAAAATAAGGAGGGTGTTTTGTGACTTTTTTGTTGCTAAAACAAAATACCCAATACCCACAAGTTAAAGGAGGAAAGGTCTATTTGGCTCACAGTTTGTAGAGGTTTCAGTCCATAGTTGGCTGGCTCCAAGACAGCGGGGCATAGCAGACAGGCAGAGGAGAAACAGCTCATGACATGGCAACAGGAAACACGAGCCATGAAGGGATAGGCAGGGATACATTTTTCCAGGTAACACCCACAGTGTCCTTCCTCTTCCTACCAGGCTTCACCTCTCCAAACCAATCCAGCTATAAACCTATCAGTGAATTAATCCAGTATCATACATCCATGATCCAGTCACCTTCCAAAAGCCCAGTCTACGAGTACAAGCAGCCTTAGGGGACATCTAGATCTAAACCATAGCAGAGAGGCAAACAAAAGTATGCGACATTACTCCCAAGTATAACAGAAACTTACCTAAATGACTAACGATAAGCTGTCCACAAATTTGTCTCTTAAAATTCTAGAAATCAGAAAATAAAATGATATGTTACATAAAACTGACTGTCCATTGACACAAACAAGTTTTTAACCTAGATCATTCTTAAGACATCCCCGCATTACAGTGTAAGTCACCCCTAGGTTAGATACAAGCCTTAGATAGTAAGTTTCATGGGATTCGTGTCCTTCAAAGAAGCCTTAGTGCATAATGCTAAAGTATAATAGACTTACTAGAGACCAAAAGTATTCTATTTAGGTGCATTATTCTGAGGTCTGGCTTTATCCAAGAAGAAAATTTGCATTCAGGAATGGAAGGACAACAGATCTTTCAATATGCATTTATTGAGTACTTACTCTGTGCCAGGCTGTATTCTAGGTATTTTGTGTCATGAAAAAATTTCATTCTTGTAGCAACCTTACGTATAAATGGAAACTTATGCATATGACTTTTGCAAGTACAGTACATTCAGCTAGTGAGGGTGGGAAGCTCCCATCCTGGTCTCAGAGTCTCTAAGCCACTGTGTGCTACTGGCTGGTACTAGATGCCGCTTGACTCCCTAGTAGGGTACCTCTCTCTTCCATGAGTACTGTATTCTTTCAACAGTTCTCAACCTTAAAATCTACTAATCATTATATGTTGATATTTTGTAATTTTAAAAAACATATTTGTGTATTAGCATGTACAACAGAAGTTGCTGTTTTAGAACCCTTCATCTATGCTGAAGAGAAACAAATTCCCCAAATTGATTTTTTTACCCAAACCAATCAACTCTTAAAATTGCTGAAAAGAACAGTTTTCTCCTTGCTCTGTGGGAAAATAGAACAAGGAATGCAAGTCAAGTTCCAGGTCCTACTGAAATAATTCACCATAGAAAAGACTCCTGACACCACAGGGGAAAGGCACTTCTGCTAACACTTCTAAATGTCCCTTAACCATGCTCTCCAACTTACTTTGTAATGATTGCATGTTTTCCCTTTGGGCCTACTAAAGTATTTAATTGCAATTACACTCATTTACATAGCAGATGAGGCTAATTGCTGGTATTAGTTACCAAATGTATGCTTGTATTGTGAGGGTGAAAAAATGCCCTACAGAAAAGAAAATGACTGTGCCTCTAATTAAGGAGTTATGAAGTCAGAATGAACTGGTTCCAAGATGTAAATATGAAATTGAGGGCTTTCAGAACTCTATAATGGTTTTTTATTACTCCATCTCACTTCCTTGATTACACACAATGTTTAGAGACTAAAGATAAATACAGTGCAATGTTCACAGTGCTGACCTGATTGCTAGGCACGTTCTCTCACACATAGATTGAAATAAATGCAGTTGTCTTGCAAACCCAAGATAAATGGTGGGTTATGAGTACCTGGTCTTCATTTATTTGGCTATTCAATTGCAAATCCTGGCTCTACCGCTTGTAAGAGAGGTACTGGCATCCTCAAATAAACACAATTTGAAATTCAAGGCTCCTTTTGCATGTGTAACATAGAATAAACAAAGAAATCATGATATGATGTGAAAATTATTTGGGAAAGGCCAAAATTTAGAAACCTCTGGGTTATTCTGATCTTTTCTGATGAATCTCTGTGTTGCTATCATAATGACTAAAAAATGAACTTGTGGTGAGAAACCTTACAATCTCATTGAGGAGACAAAATTTATATTCCTGGAACCATATTGGCATATAAGATTGCATGTAAGATGGAATGTTAGCCAATAACAAAGGAGGACAGTATTTAGTACTAACTGCAAGCCCAACAGGGAGTCAGAGGAAGTGTCAGGAAGACAAGAGCCCCTTGAGAAGACATCACAAGAAAATGTCTTTGCATAACAAAGATTTGTAGCTAACAAACAGACCAACTGTCACATTGCTTTAACCACCAGGACAGCCAAATTCAGGTGTCCAAGAGCTTCTGTCTCTCAGAATGATTTCTCCCCAGAAGCTGGTTTTCTAGTTCATTTCTTTCTCTTCTCAGTTCTGGCTCTTATCCCCACAACCTCCTATACCGTCTCTTAAAAATAAATTATTGCTTTAACTAGGAAGCTTTTTTTAAAAAAAATGAAACTTCGCTGGCCCGAAATATACTTGCTTTGTTAATTTTCTCTTTACTGATTGCCTAGCTGTAATAATATTACACTGTACAATATTTGGTTACCTACACAGGTTATTTTATGAAATGAGTCTGGCTATTGACCAAGCTTCTGCCTCTCCTTTTACTCTTTGTTCAAAAAAATGACAAAGAAAAAGGGGTGGTTGTTGGGGGAGCAAAGGGAAGGGGAAGAGAAAGAAAAAGGATAGGGAAAATCCTCCAAACCGCTAATAAGATGCATTCCATGGATACCATGGCCTCACCCTTCTTAGTAAGCATTCCTTTGAAATATAGGCTTTTGGTAAACCAGTCCCAGGTGGTATGATGACAGGGTCAGCTGAGTGTTATTTTTTAAACTTGTGTGAAAATTCATTTTGAGTTTTATCCCATTCTGTGGGCATTCAAGGAGTGCAATTGCTGAGCTCTTGTGCCAAATGTAAACAGGACATCCTTTCAGATATCAAGGTCCAGCTGGCGAGAATACACACCCTCTGCTTTTTGCCCTGTTCGGGAAATCGACCCCAGTCCTTTCACAGAGAGATGGTGGAGAAGGGGAAACCTGCTCTCACATGTGAGATATAAACAGAATGCTAAAAACATCTTTTTCTCACTATTGTTTGATGTGTTCCTCACCATCTCTTAATACTTCTTACACTACAGCAACACCTGCAGGCTAAAACTGTCACAAGTCCCCCACTGGTCCTGACTTTTCACAAAGTTTTCACTAGGGAGAGCTGATATCTGGACCTTGGGATCAGAGAATGTTAGGATCACAAAGTGTCTGAGAGTTCAAGACACAATTTTTTGACTTTGCAGACCAGAACAGACACTGAAATGTGAATAAAGGATTTAGCCTTCAGTTAACCCAACATTCAGATGAATTGCTGCTCTAGGTGTTTGTGTACATAATCTCCCTGAAGCCAGACTGAGAATATACATATTCCCCAACTATTTTGTGACAGGAAGACTTTTAAGGAAATGTAACATTTAACTGAATAACACTTAAAAATAAAATAGTTGTATTAACAAGAGTTCAGTGAAATACACGTTAAAAGCAGTGCAGAAGTTTAGAGGTTAAGGGTATCAGTGAGGAGTGATGTCAGGAAGGGCTTTGCGAGGGAGTGAAATTCTCATAGCACTCCCTTTCCGCATTGGCAAAGGATAGGAAATACTTTCACTGAGGAGTTGAAGAATGACTGACCCTAATCTGTGTTGATGAAAAAAATGGCTTTTACCTCTATTGACATTAGTTTCTTTCTCTTATTTTTGTGTCTCACTTTTCCCTATTCTGTCACATCGTTGTGTTTAATCCAATTTCAAAGTCTGAACTACTTCTCTTGGATACCTTCTCTACTTAGCTGACTTACTTCTCTTTGGAGCCTGCTCACTGGAGGAAGTCCCCAACTGGTTGGTCTTCACTGTTTACTTCTCCTCCTAGCTTATCCCTGTCCAAGAGAAGAAAATGATTAGATCAGAACACATCGAGTCCAAGAATTTCAATTGAGATGATTACCAAGTCCAGTTATTCTTCACATCTACTAGAAGCATAACAATCGCCTCAGAAAAGTGCATCCCAGTCATGTGTACCACGATCAAAATGTTGGAGAAAGTGTACTTTCTGGCTTTCCTGCCTTTCCTAGTACTATTTTAATCCTTTCTCAAAGACTGGCTGCACTGTTGCTTTCAGGTGCCCAGTCTCTATTTACATAATAAATTCCCAGTATTTGCCTAAGTAAGTGGAGTTGTTTTCTGTTACTGAAAACCCAATTTATTTAAAATATGTCTCCTTTTCCTGACCATCTATTGAATTCTAGAACTAACCCATCACCAAGAACTGAAAGAAAATCCAAATTGTCCCATTTTCCATTTCACTCTGTACATGCATATAATGAATAATACGGTCCAGTTCAAATGGAATTTAAGAGCAGCTAACTACAATCAAAATTTTTATAGAAGTTTTTCAAGTATTATTTGAATTCAAGGATGTATCCACTGAAGTCTAGCTGCTAGTGTATTGACTTAGTGCAGTCACACTTTAAGACTTGAAATACTGTTCCTCTGTACTTTTCACAAGCAAACATTTACATGATTTCATATGCTTTGTAAAAAATCAGCAAAGTAACCATATGCTTAAATAATACTATGGCACAATGATTTAAAATGAAATATTTACAAAAGAGGTTATAATCAGATTTCTAAGTAAATCTGGGAAGAAAGAAAAAGGACTGATAAATTGAAATTGATTTTGTTAATTTAGTAAATATCTGTGAGAAGATTGAATGTTTTCAATGGATTGTCAAAAATATATTTTCAACAGTCAAGTCAACGCCTTGAAAATCACACTTTTAGAAAGTTGGTTTTTGCATAGTGATGTTATCTGAGGAATTATCAATTTCTCGTTTTTTCAAAAGGGTCACAGATACACTGAAGCATGACATCTCCTTCCTCATACCTTAATGACAGCCTTCCCAGGAATCATGCTTCATCATCATTGATAAGGAGCTCGGGTACAGGCTGTGCAGAGAAAGCTCTGCTTCAGTAACCTTTCCCATCTAGGCTCCTACAGTCCACTCACTACCTCTCCGGGACCACAGATCCCCCTATATTTCCTCCCAGCTCCACCTTTAGCACTTGTTCTACCTCTTTTGTTCCTAGTCAATGCCCAGTGCTCTTGACTTCATTATTCTCCACCTGTGTTATTTATCTTTCCAAGCCCTCTCACCAGAGTGCCCTGTCTTTGATGTCAAAATGATAAGCTTTAGTGTTAATGCATTCATTTATTGCCTCTTTAAGCTGATTAGGTTGGCATTTTAAGAAGATTTGTACAGACAATGTTTATATTCCAGAATCGCAAATATTTGTTAACCCTCTCTGCATAGCCTATAAAACATAATATGGTACAGATTTTGTGATAGGTGGAAAATATAAACCCACACTGAATTCCTGAAGAGAGTAAGATTAAATGAGTTATTTTGGTTCTTTCTCAATGTCTTTGCATTCTAGCTCCCCTTCTCCACATATCTATATATTCATGTCAGAACAATGATATTAGTCAAACTACATGTGGCTATAGTTAAAAACCCCATAATACATCTAGAATTTATTGTTTTGTTCCTGTATTATGGCTCCATTGAAATCATTTCGATATACTTTATCCCAATTTCTTTTTAAAGGGAATGGGGTTATCATTGATCTATTACCCCTAAGGCTTTGGATCCATTCTGTCTTAGTAAAACATTTGAGACTCTTCTAGAAAAAAAAAAACAGTTATGTTCTATAACATTTAAAAAATTTATTGAGCGTCTATTGTGCATAAAACACTCTTTCATCTATTATGGAAGACACAAATATAACTAATACTTTCCGATTTTAAAAACCTATGGCATAGGGCTCGGAGATTTAGCTCCGTGGAAATCCCTGGATTCAATCCCCAGTGCCATGATGAAACAAAACAAAACAACTCTACAGTCTACTATGGAATAATTATAATCTAGGTTACTCTCCTTGTGATAAAATCACAAGATCAATAATATTTCCTTGATGATTATGAAAAAAGGAAAGTATACTTTTTTATGTTTTAGAATTTTCCCATAAATAGGTGAGGAAAAATTATGAAGAGCCTCCCAAAAAAATTAAAGTTGTAGTCAAAGAATGTAGGCACATATTTGTGTAAGTTCCTATGCATTGATTAGGCAGATTCGCAGAAATTGATTCTGTAACTTCAGAAGTGTCTTGTGAACGTTATCCATTTCTGTGGATGGGAAGAATTTACTTTAGAATGCCTTGTTGCCAGAATGTTTGCCTTGTTAACATTAATAATGAACTTCAAGTCCTGCAGGAGATACTGAAGGGGCAAAATAATAGCAAACTTCAAAGCCTGGGAGACAACTAAAGAGAAATGAAGATAGAAGTTAAACTAGGGGAGGCTGGAGAGCTTAGTGGCTCTAAACAAATTTCTAAACACACACACACACACACACACACACACACACACACACGAAACACATATACAATATGCATGTGTCAACAGCGGGCACATCAGGTCAAAAGTCTGATCTAGTGAGATTGATTGCTGGGGCAAATTTATCTTATTCAAAGAAATACAACCACTACAGGATGTGTATTCAATTAGAAATTACACTATGCTATAGAGAAATATTCAAATACTAATGCTTAAGCCCCTTCTATTAATATAGCTTTATGGAAAAATCCAAGAAATTATAAGGTTAAATTTATCTACAGATACTCCAAACATTCATCAAAGATGTTGCTATAAACTTGACTCTAGGAAAAGATAATTTTTTTTCTAATTCCTGTTCAAATGAAGGAAATGTATTTTTGAAAAGAATGCACTTTAAGTGTTCACTCCCAAAACTAGAAAGCAATTTGAAAAGTGAATAAAATTCTCCCATTATGGACTTGGAAGTTGACTTTCCAGCTTCTTAAGGAAAAAAATATATTTTTCTACAAATTGTAGCACAAAAAGCATCTCTCACTTCAAAGTTTTCCTCTTTTAAGTTATAGTTTTTCAGTAAGGACATGAACTCAGTGTAAAATGCAGCTGTCCAAAAAGTAGGTGCGTACAGGATATAGGAGAGCGACAGGGAACAGTGAAAGGGTGTTTTTATCTGGTCTTTGGGAAAACTTGTGGAAAAATTTTTTCCATATATGTTATGGAATGACAAGTCAAATGTTTGTCACTTAGGGAAAAACTGAAGCTTTGGAGAAATATGGCAAAATTATTTAGACCCAGAATAATCTAACTTTTTCCTTAAGAAAGAAAGTGTGTGCATTTGTGTTGTGTGTGCGTGTGTGTGTGTGTGTGTGTGCAGATCTGTGTGCGTATGTGCTTTAAATGAGGTGCTAAAGATGTTGTGTGTGCGTGTGTGTGTGTGTGTGTGTGCAGATCTGTGTGCGTATGTGCTTTAAATGAGAAGTGCTAAAGATTTGGACAGTTGCATTTTTATTTTCAAGAAATCTCCACCTATATTTAAATTGTGTGTCTAGTTAATTCTATTTCTCTAATTCTATTTGAATGTAACCTTACTATGGAAATTAGGATGGATGAATAAATGAATGAATGAATGAACAAGAATTTTTCCCTACCTTTCTCCTTCCTTAAATTCTCTATGATAATCCTCCTGACCCCTACTACCTACACTTTTATTTTGGTCTGCTTTGTGAATTCAGCACACTAAGTGACACTACTGAGTTTTTGTTTTTGTTGGTGGTGGTGTTTAGTACTGGGGATCGAACACGGGCCCTTGTGCTTGTGAGGCAGGTGGCAGAACCACTGAGCCAAATCCCTGGCCCACTACTGAGTTTTTAATAGCTCCACTAAGTTATGTATATTGCTGCCTGCTTGCAAAGAAAGTGAATATGATTTGTTTAAAAGTAAATTCACCTCAAGAAATACAACTCCGAATTTGGAACAAAGAGATGGATCTTGGCTGTCACTGTATCACTGTAGATTTCTCATTTCCATACTGATATTTGATTTGGTGTGCTAATAAATGTATAGTTTCTGAAAAGCCTACAGTTTAACGAGAAAAAATCTGGTATTTTCTTCTGTATCTACTCTTTATCTTTTTGTATCATGTTGAATTAAAATAGCCAGCTTGTCAAGTGTTTTGGCCTTTTAGAGATGTGCACTAGAAATACAGGAATATATAGATGTCTTTTTATATAGGCTTTTTCTAACCGAATTTAGCTGCAGGGGGATATAAAAGACAAATGTGTTGACAAATGACAAGATGTTACTTACTGTAAAAAATATTATTGCATGCACACCATTTCCTGTTATGGTGCATATATTGACTGCAACTTTGTTCAAAATGAACTGCATATTAAGAGAAACATATTGCCTTCTGAGCTGTTCTAGCTTGATTTCGAATTCTCTGGAAGTAGCTATTTAAAAAAAAAAACTCGCTCTCAACTTAATAATCACAAATAGATGTGAATTTCCCCATGAGAGACCACAAATTAAAAAAATGGATTTTATTTGGATCAAAAGTGGTTTGGGTCAGAAATAGATAAAACTATTTCAGATAAAATATGTGATGGATGTGGCCCTAGAGACACATTAAAGAGTGTAACTGCCAACCTCTGCTGAAATGAGTGTTCCTCAATAATGATGTACAGATAGGCATATGGCTATTTGAATTTATTATCTATATTTCACTTAAGTCAAAATCTTTAAAGAAAACTTTGGCATAAGGATTATTATGTGTGTTTATGAGGGCCATGGACATTCTAACCTCGTGTTAATGTATAATTGATTCTAAAAATTGATTACCTAAAAAATATGTATTGTAGTTCCAATACTTATGAGCCATAAGAAAAGGATCAGGTAATCTAGTTTCTTCCTTTGCTAATTGGATTATGTTCTAATACAAGAAATCTAAGGTTAAAAATGATGTAATCAGGAATTCATATATAATAGTGCT